GATTGACCACTAAAATGTTGTCCACCACTTCCAAAAATGTTGATGTCAGCTGGAAATATAATGTGTTTTATGTTAATTATTATAATTATATGAATTACTGTTATATTTCCAGAGACATCTTCAGTAGCAGTCACTAAAATACTAACACTTGCAGTCACTTCAGTAGATTTTAATTCCTGTGTATTACTTGTCAGCTCTTCTAGCTGCTGAACTTTCTCATCTACTGGAAGCTATCAAAATATGTCATATCTACTTTTTATATTGTAGTATTAGTTTGTCTTACATTTCGTAAGTTACATATTTTACGTGCTAAATCACTGAAGTTACATTGTGATACATCAATTGTAGTCCAGAGAGCTCCATTAGTAAAATCCCCTCCACAGTATCTGAAAGCTTTTAATTCACTGCCACTTGATGATGTATCATTGTCACCACATGGACAATCAACTATTGCTTCCACTCCAATATTAGTCTCTGGCCAGTGTACACTTATATCTAGACTTGTATCACCAGATTGAGATGGAATGATTGTTGAGTTTGAGGGGCAACCATCTAGAAGGAGATATTCAGCTAACAAACTTAAATATTTTTAATAATTATTATTGTTATGAATGTTGAAATAGGCCAAATGGCAAAAACTATATAATGGTTTTTATCAAAAAATGCTAGTTAATCATTTTACTTAATGTGACATACACTTTCTAGTACAAAACAGAATAACTTTACCAAATCTATTCAATTGAATGATTGATATCTTTACACTGAGCTGTTGATTGAGTGAGTCCAATTGATTCTTTACTCCAGTCAACAAAGTATTATCACCTTGACCTCTCTCTGTCACTAGTGTAACCACTATTGGTAGTTTGTCAGGCATGTGACTTGTATTTTGTCTATAGAAAATGTGTAATTAATGAATCTTACAACATATTTTCCTCACAAAATTGTTTCAGCATTGAGGATTTCAATGTAAAAGAAAGATGTATTACTAATATTACTGCCTGATAAATAATTGTTGCTTGATTGAATAAGCTTCAAAATTAAATCTTCTGTCGATTCAGTAGAATTATAAAAATCTGGTGGTAAATCCATTTCAGCTTCATACTGAACTACATCTATATAAACATTGTTATAGTGATTATGTGTATTTTGTAGTTAAATTACTTGTTATATTGAGCAGTATCACTGGTGATCTTATTGCTTCTTTCTTTCCATTAATGATGTTGCTAGCAACACAATGGTAGAATCCCCTATCACTGAGATCCAGTTCAGGAAAGACCAACACAGAAGGGTCACTGTTCTTATTTGCAATTATTCTATTATCTTTATACCAATGAATTGTAGGGGTGGGAGATCCTGTTGCTCTACAGGTAAGGCTGGCTGAAGAATAGAGGCTAGCAGTTGTGTGTTTTGGTGGCTCAGTGATCACTGGCGCGATGTAATTGATGACCTCTACATTATGAATGGCATAATTTTTAATATGTGTTTTGGTCCTTACCTATTTGACAGTGTTTCCCAGTAAATTTTTCATCACATACACACAAGAAATCCCCATTTAGACT